ATTATACCTCCTTTTCTCATAAAGAATAACCAACTTCTCACTCATCATATTCACCGTCACGCTCCTCCTAAGCTGCTCCAATAGCATGGGAGCAAGTTGTTAGGACCGAAATTAGCACTAAGAGCCACCAATGTGCTTTTAGAAAAATGACGTCGATTCGAAAAACTTCAATGATTTTAAAAAGCTTGATTCGATGAAACCATATTGTAATAAGTAGTTAAAGTAGAAAAATAATAGTAATGAAGAGCATAAAAAAGATGCACACTAAATTTATAGTGGTTCAATCATCATGACCTATGTCCACTCCCGATTCCTCCTTCGTTAAGGCCACCGATGTCTATTAACGGTCTTCTTTCAATAGGCAAAGACCAACTATCCTCTTACAACCTTTTTCTCATTTTCACAAGTTTAGGAGATAACTTTTACAATTCACTCAACCTTCTCTCAAACTGAATTTAAAACTCAGAGCTAGAGAAAGGGAAATTTTATGAATTACAATAGCATTTTACACTAATTTTCATTCAAGATGTTGTACCAATTGAGAAGGGATAAGAGGGGTATTTATAGACCTTAAATGGTTTAAAAAATAGAGCAAAAGAAATCACATCTTAGGTTCTCGAGGTACTGGCGGTACCATCGCTAATACTGAGCGATACCACTGCCATTACTCTCTAACACTAGGCAGTACCACAGCCTAGTCTGGGCGGTATGACCACTTGACAGAGCCTCGAAGACTGGACTCTGGTGGTATCACCACCTAACAGGGTGGTACAATTGCTTGGCAGCATTAACTACCGACAGTACTATCGCCTAGTTTGGGTGGTACCACCGTCCAAACTCCCTAAGAGGTCGAGCCTTAAGCGGTGCCACCGTTAGCCCTAGTGGTGCCATAACTTGGGCCAACTAAGGTTCACTGAATGGGCCAACATGCCCAATTCAGCACTAATTAGGACCTAATTAGCCCATAATCGAGTTAGTACGATTTTTCCCAAAACTAACTCAAATTGAAACCTTAACTATGATAATTAAAGTTAAACAATTATAATGCAAGCAATCCTAGTTGTCCGACATGTCAATTATTCATTCTAACTCCCGGTGAAACTTCCGGCACATTCTCGATTATCTTCCGACAAGCTTTTGGTGAACTCCAAGCGAGCTTCCGGTACATTTGATACCGAGGGTGATGCAGAATGGGAGGGGGGGGGGGGGTTGGGGGGTGGTGGGGTGGGGTGGGGTAAAGTAGAATAGATTTCGAAAGAAAATCGATGGTACAATTTTTTTAGATAGAAAATGTTTGAACTCACGTTAATACTTCAATAAGATCGAAAAACAGCTCACCACCAAATTTAAAATTACAAAAGGATACTAAAAGTACACCAACCCAAGGAAATTAAACAAATAGAGTTTAAGAGAGAACTCCAAGAGAGTTTCTACCAAAATATCATCAGTTTCTAAAGTTCTTTCTAAGCCATAAACAACCAAATAAGTACTAGTGCATGAAACAACCCTTCATGCATAGGAAATTTCGAAATTAAGTGTTTTACAACTGGTAACCAACTTCTTTAATGCATTTCTTGGTCATGAAGAAAAGCACATTGAAATAGTTGTAACCTCATCTAGGGAATGTGCTAATGAGCTGTCATATTTGAGTGGAGTTGAGTTGAAAACTATGAGTCAACATTGTGGGCTGAAAACAATACCAAAGCATCAACAAAGTCCATATAAGCATATTGTAGCAAATTAAGCACTCTCGTGTCAGTTGTTAGGATCGAGTTAGCACTAGAGGGGGTGAATTAGTGTAGTGGATAAAAATCACATTGGTTTAAAAAATCTTTGTATGATGAAAAATCGTTTCGGAAAGATATTAACTTGGAAGCGTATGAAAGGGTGTACAGGAAAGGTAATGAGGAAGTAAAGCAGTTTACAATAAAGATAAATAGCAAAACAGAAATACAAACCATTTTATAGTGGTTTGGTCGTCGTGACCTACATCCACTTCACCGATTCCTCTTTCGTCGAGGCTACCAACATCCACTGACGATCTTCCTTTAATGGGTGAAGATCAACTACCCTTATAACTTGATTCTTCTTTTGACAGGTTTAAAAGAAAACCTTTACAACCCCGGGTCCTAACACTTAGAGCTTGAGATGAGTTCTCACAAAATTACAACAACATTTTTGTTTCTTTTTCTCTCAATTCTTGTGTTTGTTAACTAGAGATGAGAGAGGTATTTATAGGCCTTAACTGGATTCAAACTTCGAGTCTAAAAGTGTCTCATCCTATGTTTCCCGGGTCCTAGCGGTACCACCACCTGTGTTGGGCAATATTATCGCCTGCAGCACTAACACTGGGCAGTACCACTGCCCAGTCTGGTGGCACCACCGCTTGATAGTCTCTCAGAGATTATGTCTGGGCAGTACCATCACCCAAATCGACGGTACCACCACTTGACAGTCTTGGAGACTATGTCACGACAGTTCAACTTGTTGGGTCACTGTTTGGGCCTTTCACTTTGCCCAACACAACCTAAACTTGAGCCCAACTAGCCCCTAATTGAGTTATCCCAATTCCAACCCAATTATGTGCTAACTATGAATTTTAAGACGTACATTAAGCTAAATAAGTCTGGCAAGTCTAGGTTTCTTCCGACAAGCTTCCGACGAATTTCCGACGATCTCTCGGTAATGTTCCAACGGACTCCCAACAAGCTTTTGGACTTCACGATAATCTTCTTGGTGAGTTCTGACAAGCTTCTTTGGCAAGCTCCTGGACTTCTCGATTAATTCCGATAGAACTTCCGGTGAACTCTTGAACTCCCAATGAAATATCATTCTTGACTCCGGGACTTTATTTTGCTTTATGCCTTGATCGCTATCATAATTAATCCTGCATACTTAAGACCTACTTCAATCTAGACAATTATTACAAGGCTTAAAATAAATGTTATCCAGCATATCATTGGTTCATCGATGCTTCGTCCGATTCTTCGGCGCATCGTCTTCTCTTGCGGCCTATTGCCCAATTGGCCAATTGACCTCCGCAACTTCAATTTCCTTGGCACAATTTTCGCTCTTCTTGGCTCGATGTCCGAACCTATGGCCCAAAGTCTTCTACTGATATATCGATCGATCCTCCGGCTCGATGTCCAATCTTCTAACATATTCCACTTCGGCCCAACATGATTCTTCCTGCCTTAATTGTCTCTCCCTAATTGAAGCTTCTTGTGTCACTTAAAATGCAGATCAGATAAACACTATCAATTGGTTTCATCATCAAAATCTAAGATTCAACATCAGCATCGTTCGAACCTTTGATGTATCATCCGATTCTTCCGGCTCGATGCCTGTTCTTTGACTCTGACCCAACATTCAATTCTTCTTTAATTGTTTTGCCTTTTCATGATTATAGTTAGTCCTACATCACTTTTCTTAACACATGGATTAGATCAATAATTCATGAATTGAGAAAATTGAGATTCAACACGAGTTTGCACTTACAGCCCATATGTAGTTACTTGGGGCAATGGTTTGGCTTGTCCTATCTTACTTGATTTACCATGATGCTTCACCATGGCAAGATTGTGAAACTTCTTCACTATTTTTTAGAATTGCTAACCGGATCTGAGACCACAATGTCATAGATTTAGCTAAAATTACCTAAATCGTGAAGCACCCTTATGGCAAAGTTATGGACTTAGCTAGAGTTACCTAAGTCGTGAAGCACTATTGCATTAATGAACTTAGTTGGGATTGCCTAAGTTATTTGTTATACATCCGCAAAGGGTCAACCTATTTGCAATCTCACACAGGTCTTGTATGACCTATAAAAATGGTAAGTTGATTAGTTCGAAAGCGAGTGATAGATAAGTTTTGATGTCTTACGAAGAGGGCAGCTTTATAAGTGATTCAATAAACACTTTATGTGCAAGAGAGAAAAGAGAGGAAGAAGATGTGATGACAAGTTCTTGTCAACTTAACGTGCGAACTTATGTAAACCAATCAATGCCTAGCATTACCTCGAAGCCCCATCCATCCCTATGCCATCCTAGGGGTTCTGGGGGTTTGAGCTGGTTGACGTTTTACACCGCATAATGGTTTATAGAAAACAGACCGTAGCATGCAAAAACGAAGCCATTTTAGAGTAGTTTTTCCCGACATGGTGAGCAATTGTACTATAGAACTATTTTTACTTATATTTTTCAAGCAAAAAACACACAAAATCGTGACAAAATATGTTGTCAAGAATATGTACAAGCATGCAAAAGTGACGAATGATTCATTGAGCGAAGATGTTATGGGTGCATGACGATCGTTTGTGATAGCTCAGTAATTGCGTCAGCATCGATACAGTTGTCGAGTAACATCGCCCTTTCCTACATCGTTGTTAGCACCAATGTAGATCTAGAGTGATGACAATCTGCATCATCTTCTTCCTCCTCTTCTTTTGCCTCATCTCTCGTCATCTTTCTCTCTTCATCCACAATAGTCATTTATAGTCCCAACAACATTATCGTCTGCCATTACCGAAAATATAATTGGAATGTTAAAATTATTTTTTTTCTATCGTTTATGTATTTTAATCGATAAAACTGACGACATTAAGATATATGATCTTAAAAATTATAAAAATTTTAATATAAATTTTTAAAATTTAAAAATCGAGATACTAAATATGTCTATCTACATGAATAATCTATAATCACCCCTATCTTTAACTGTGACACAAATCACTCTAAAAGAGTTTAGTATGGTCTCTGAAGTAAAAAATAATATTTTTTTAACATGATAAAAGTCATGAAACTGATTAATATTATAATTGTAAATATGATATTTTCATACTTGTGAGAAAAATAGTCAACAGTGAGGATTTGGCACACGTTATCATCGTCATCATGATGTTCATCTTACTCGACGGCCGATCGCAGTTTGTCCGTTCTCGCTTCCATCCGCAATCCTCGGTCGATGGATTTCCAAGTTAATATATTTTACTTGGCATCGATCCCATCCAATTCGATACCCCTCCGCCCGCACATCCCTGGGCATATTCCCCTCTCCTCTCGCTTTCTGTCGTCTGCAGCTTAATCAGAGGAGTGTGCCACTGCGTTGGCCAAAAACAGAGCCGAAACAGAGCGATCTGCGGGGAGGAGACAGTAAAGAAACCAAGAATACGGGAGGGAGAGAGAGAGATCAGATGGGGAGCTGGTGGCGGGGAGCTCCTTGCCATCTTGAGCTTCTTTTGGCCGTGATTTTGGTGGGAGTCGTGAACCGGAGCGATGGAGGAGTCACCAGTGGGTTTGTCAGAAAGGTGGAGAAGACCATCGACATGCCGCTCGACAGTGATATCTTCCGCGTTCCTCCGGGTTATAACGCGCCCCAGCAGGTGTCTTCTAAGCTTCTATTCCGTTAAATTAGTCTCCTTTTTGTGTTCCTAACGAGTTCTTCTGTGCCTTGTTCTCAGTTTCATCTGTTCTCAACGAGCTTCTTTACACTGGTTGTTGAACCGTGAACGTTCTCTGGATTATCATCTGTTCTATTCATTTATTTATATGCTTCTTGTTGTTCTACTGCTCTTGTTTTTTGTATGATCTTTTGCCTTGTCTGGTGATGTTCCATGTCTTCCCTCACTGTTCTTCCTGTGACTATTTCCAGGATTGAATTGCTATCGAAGTTTTAGAGAAAAAAAAAATCTTTTCCTGTTCTTGAAGGTACATATAACCCAAGGTAATCTTGATGGCACTGCCATGATCATCTCATGGGTGACCGAGGACGAACCTGGCTCCAGCGAGGTGCTTTACGGGACTGACGAGGATAAGCTCGAGCTGTCTGCTGAAGGCAAATATACTCGATACAAGTTTTACAACTACACCTCCGGCTACATCCACCATTGCACTATCAGGCATTTGAAGGTCATCGGAAGCAATATCTTTTGCTGCTATTTTGTGAATCTGTATGTTTATGTTGCAGTTGCTTGCGTCAATGCCTCTTGCTCATATCCTTTGGTGATATCCATTATATGCAAAGCTTAGTATTTGGAGTAACATCAAAACGTGTTTCTTTGCAGTATGACACTGAATACTACTATGCTGTGGGGATTGGGCACACAGTTAGAAAGTTCTGGTTCACAACCCCACCTGCAGTTGGTCCAGATGTTCCTTACACCTTTGGCCTTATAGGTAATTTTGCTGATACTATCTAGATTCATGTAGGACTACACATCTAATATTCATGTGAGATCTTTCTGTTTATGATTCTTATCATCTTGACTTCATAATTTTTTTTGTTATGTGAATCACTGTAATATGTTTCCAGGAAGATTGGCATTACTGATGCCGATGGAACATTCATCCTTTCTGTAATTTTTGCTTGCAAATGTACAGAAACTTCAAGTGTTCAGACAACAATACTGATAAATGCTAGGGGAGCTTCTGACCTTTGATTTCACTTGTGTTCTGCTTTACTATCATGTCTGAGCATTGGAAACTTCGTCCATACATAGAGAACTGCCTTCTTTTGATCCATTGTTTATGATATGTATTGCAATCAGGATTTTCAATCTGAAAATTATTTAGCAGAGAAAGATGGTACAGATTGGGGTCTGCTTGGTTAAACTTTGTTGATTTGTTATCCACTGTTGTTCATCTGATGTCATTTTACCGCTCACCACCTGTTTGAATAAAGTGCGGCAATAGTTGTAGCAGGTGGTCTTTGTTCCAAATTCATACATCTTGATGACATAGGCCATTTCAAGAAACCATGTATCAGTTTTCATTCTTCATCTGACATAATAGATTGAAATATTTTAAGATATAAAGATATTTCCACACGCTGTAGCCATTTGGTTTTTGCATGGGTTCATATGAGTTGGGGTTTATTTCATTATTTTTATCCAGATTCATGACCTGTTAACTTGATAACATTCATCTCTAAGTAGAAATAAAAACTACATGTGTTGCAACTATTGATCATTTTTATTCCCATTTGTTGTCAGTTTCATTTTCTTCTAATGTTCTCTCCACATTTAACCTACCTTACATACCATATGATACCACCTTGTATCCTCTTTGAGCTGGGTATATTAAGCCCTTAATAGCTATTTACTAGTCAATCCTTACAAAGTAGAAGCTACATTGACATAATTATATGTGGTTATCTGCAATTCTTTTCTGTAGGCCTCAGTTTTATTAACGTTTGATTCTCTCCTTGTAAGTTCAGTCAGTCCAATCTAGGTGTGAGAAAAATCCTTCATTTTCTATGTCTAAGTTTTTGTTTTTTTTTAATAGTTAATATCTGATAGAATATTTCCTAAGAATTCATGCCTACTATTACTTTTTTTATATATTTTTGCATGAATTTCAGGTGATCTTGGACAGAGTTATGACTCAAATGTCACACTGACTCATTATGAATCAAATCCAAAAGCACAAACAGTGTTATTTTTAGGTGACCTTTCTTATGCTGATAACTACCCAAATCATGACAATGTCAGATGGGATACATGGGGCAGGTTTATTGAGAGAAGCACTGCATATCAACCTTGGATTTGGACTGCAGGAAATCATGAGATTGACTTTGCTCCAAACCTTGTAAGTAGGACAATGAAATGCAAGTCTAGGTTTCTTATTGTTCTTGATCGTTGATCATTTTATCATATTGCTTATCATTTTATTATACTTTTTCTATACTCACTATTATACTCATGATACTTCTAGTCCATTTTATGGACGAATGAACATTTCTGCTGCTTTGTGATCACATTATCTTCGCGCGGGTGACAAATAAATCTGCTTTAGAATCTGAAGCATCAGAAAAGAAGTTAATATATCTAGAAGTTTGGGTACTTTCATTTTGAAGATAACATGAAAAGGAACAAAAGATTATTGTCAGATCATTGCACCTTTCACAGAGATGCACACTCAAACCAAAAATTCACAGTGTAGAGAAAAGAAAAGAAAATTATCGGGATATGGACAAAAAAGCATACTTTGTAAGGTCAAAAGCATGATGTTCTCAACTGAAGGCATTAAAATTTCAAAATTTTGAAAATTTAAAATAAGCCGAAACCGTGTAATTGAGAGTTCCATACAACAAAATGCTTTGGACAATTTTTGGAGAACTTATAATAATTACATAGTCCTAACCTAAATAACAGTAAAAGATCCATATAGTCGACCCCAAACACTTGAGATATTATGACTTTGTTGTGTTATAATTTCAAAAAATTCACTTATAAATATATCAAACCAAGATAGTATATTAGACAGAAAGAAGCTCCAAACAACAGCATCAGCATAAATTACATGGCTGATGTATGAATAGCGATTGTATGGCCAATCATTGTGGGTATAATGGTAGATGCCCGAGACCAAGTTACTATTATTTCTTTCTCCTCCCTCATGTTGAGTTTTTCCATTTTTTCCGATAAATGGTTAGCTACAAAAGGGTTTTTTTTTAGCGAACGTGTCATGTCACAGTGTATTACTCCTTTTTTTTACATTTTTTATTTTAAAGATTGGCATTCTATGTCCAATATCTCGATCTAAGTTAAGTATGGAGGTAAGAATAAATACAATAATGATGAATTATATTAAGGAAATTAGAGCTGAGAATTAACTGATCTTGTGTTTTCTAAATCCATTTTTGGTTGGTTAGAATTTGAGAAGTCTAACAAGCTTGACCTGTTGTCTGTCTGAGAGAATATGGACAGCTGAAATGTTTATAACATTTTTTGCAGGGTGAAACTGTACCATTTAAGCCATACAGACACAGATATCATGTTCCCTATAGATCTTCCAGCAGCAGCTCTCCATTTTGGTACTCTATCAAGCGAGCATCGGCATACATAATTGTCCTGGCATCATATTCAGCATATGGTACTGCCATGTTATGCTTTATGTGAATTTTGACTTTCAAACATAGTCATGACCTGCATGAGAAGCTATATAATTTTCGTGTTTAATTTGATTTAACAAAATTAATTATTCTCTTTAGTTGCATCAATTCTCTTAGCCTGTTTCATCAAGATTAATTTTGAACTTTTAAGAACTGCTAATTAAAATCTTATAAACAGTAACTATAAATTTGCAGTTCTTTTGGATTTTCCTACTTCTATACAAATCTTTTTGATGTTCAATGGCCTCTTCTTCATTTGGCAGGTAAGTACACTCCTCAGTACAAGTGGCTTGAAGCAGAGCTACCCAAAGTTAATAGAAGTGAGACACCATGGTTGATTGTTCTAATGCATGCACCATGGTACAACAGCTACAACTATCACTACATGGAAGGTGAATCCATGAGAGTGATGTATGAGCCATGGTTTGTAAAATACAAAGTCGATGTTGTATTTGCTGGCCATGTTCACGCCTACGAACGCAGCGTAAGTGCCTCTCTCTGTGTACCCCTTTTTCCCCTACTTTCTTCAACTTTCCATAATGCCTGAAACTATATATGGTAGGAAAAATGAGATGCATAATATCAAGAGCTTCAACCAGATTACTTATTTGATGATCTTTTTTATTTCAAGTTGTATTTGCTGCAAATCCTCTTGCAGTGGGGAATGAATTCTCTTTGTTATGTGACTGAGTGCCCTGTGCAGACAATCTGATGATGTAAACGTTTGTGGTCTTGCAGTATAGAGTATCAAATATTGCTTATGACATAGTGAATGGAAAATGTGAGCCTGTGCCGGATGAATCAGCTCCTGTATACATCACTGTTGGTGATGGAGGAAATCTTGAAGGACTTGCTACCAAGTATGACTCCACATGAGATACAAACTTTGTACATGTCTCAATATGAGAGAACTCTCTTCTCTTCTTAACCTGTATCTTTCTTTTCATATGCACTGCAGCATGACAGAGCCACAGCCCAGTTACTCAGCTTTCAGAGAATCCAGCTTTGGGCATGCAGTGTTTGAGATCAAGAATCAAACCCATGCCTACTATACCTGGCACAGAAATCAGGATGGCAATGCAGTGGCTGCTGACTCTCTGTGGTTCTACAACAGCTACTGGAAGACTGCAAATGAGGCTTCAGCTATGTAGTGATTGAACATTGATGGCAGTTCAAAGGCATGAATGTTGTACTCGCTCCCAACCTTGGGTTATGTAATGAAATGCTTCTCCATGTACCAATTGGCAAAGTCATTGCTGATTGACATTTGTGGTGTGGTATGGGCAATCTTATTGGTTTCAAATTAGTTTATGTGATATTGATCATTGTGTTATCTTCTTTCCTAGATTTGACACTGTAGGCTGAAATGAACCCATATCATCAAACAATTTGAGCAGTTTTTACAGCAGCCAATCCATAACATCAAACAAATTGTATTATCCCAAATAGCAGTGTTCTTTTAGAGAATATTTTTTTCTAATATGAGTTATTATTTATTTTGGCAATTATCTGATACATGGAACACCTCAATTTAGTCCTGGATTGGAAATTAGTTAATGAACATATTTATGTATGTGATTAACTTAGATTGAAGCACTTTGATTCAACGAGGGTAATTGATATAATTGGCTTGATAGAAATGAAGTCAGATTCCCAAATTCCTTAGTATTTAGGTTCATTGACTTCATGAATGAAGCTAATCATCCATATCCACTTACAATGTGATGACACTATTATTGCTCCTGATCTCCCTACAGGTATCGGTCTTATTTCTACCTCATCCTCCGATGCCACTCTTGCTGCTGGCTGCCAGCCGTGTAGGGCGCACAACTCAGCTATGGCTTAGGCGCTGGTCGGAGAGCTCCGAAACATGCCACTACCTTCGGTCGGGACACTCTGCGGGTCCAAACTGATGCACAATCCATCATTCACTTCATCGAAGGCACCCATCTCTGTTGTCAGATGGCTCTTGAACACTCTCAACTCTTGTTCCATTAGCTTCATTCCAAGAACACTTGCTGCATGAGCACGCTGGATGATCTGGGCTATTCGCACAATCCTCTTGCAAAGTTTCTTTGATTTAATTGACAGTTATCTTTACTTCGAATAAATAAGATCAGATCTAATTTTAATCCCTAACCATCACCATCTCTGGAGTCATGAAGAGAGAGAGAGAGAGAGAGAGAGAGAGAGAGAGGTCATTTATTGTCAATAATGCTTGTGGTCTTTTAATATAATACGATGACTGAAATGAAATGATTGAGAATTGCATGAAAACCCAAAAGTCTATTAAATCAAAATTCCAAGGGCATTTCATTTATTATCAAAGACATAACATCAAGTTCTAAAATCTAAATTAGTCCATGTCCACATTAGTTTATTTGAATTAAATAAATAAATAAAAACCTAAATTTTTTTTAATATTTTAGTCATAAACAACAACAACAACAACAACAATAAGTGTATTAACTCTTTCCAGTTAGTTATATAGATCTTTTTAACTATGTAAGAAGTTACTCCTAAACCAAAAAATTAAGGGTATTCTGAGTTTTTATTTATAGTTTCTAGTATTTTTTTAAAATCTCCATATTCTCATACCACTAATAATAATTGTTACATCTCTTTAAACTATAATATTTATATATCTTTTTCGTTGATACCATCTTATTCTTCATTTCGTTCTCTATCAAAATTATACCTAATTATTTATGAGTATTATATACACACAAAATAACACCAAATATCTATCTCAATATATGTTATTTAATATCTAATATATAAATCTGTAAACCATAATTAGTCTAACAATGTTCTTATAGAGCTTATACGAAATGTAGTAAAGATATATAATTTTAAGCTGGCTACAAGTGGCCTAACATAACGTTACATCTTTTTATTTGGGCCAGAGTTGTTGATATTTTAGTATAATAATTAATATATGAAATATATCAATAGAAATTAGAATTTCAATTAACAATTAACTTAGTATAATAAAGATTTAAATGTCAAAGATATATGT